CAAAACGTCAGCCAGCAGCCTTCAGTGTGTGCGAGAAGTCGTGAGAACTTGATATCTCCATGGGCTGGCAGAAAGTACTGACAAACTCCGAAAGGTTCTTCAAACGACTAATCTGTGCTTATCACGGGCTGCTGAATCCCCTGCAAACGAGTGTTTCCGAATTTCCGCATGCTCTTTCAGGCCTCAAAGTTGCAACGAGTTACTGATTAGATGGCCCGGCCCAGTTGCTGTCGCCGGGCCAGTTGCAACTTGGGGTGCGTTTTGGGTCACTCCCAACATCCAAACATGGTTTTAGGGAATGCAACTTATGACTCTTACGAGTCTTAGGAGCAAGAAGCTACTAGGAGCAAAGGGCATCGCTACTAGGAGCAAGGACACTACTAGGGGCTCCTGGCCTTCCTACTAGGAACAAGAACGCTACTATGAGGTTGAGTTCTTCCCAACTTCTGGGAACCAAATGAAGGATGCCTTGAGGAAGCTCCCCTTGGCCCGAAAAGGCGGGGGGAAGCTTCCTTGAAGAAGCCGAAGCTTTCCTGTTTCAGGTGGTTGTAGCTGTATACTTAAGCTTAATTAGTAGCTATATGCCTATATGTAGCTATATACTACGGCCTATCGCCCCATACCATGTTTTCAAAGGACAAACAAAAGCTTCACGTCCGAGTTGCCCATCCACTCATGCGTGGCTTGGAGTCCACGGTGTTTCTGGAGCACGTCCCACCAGACACGTCGCGCGAGTAGCCATTGGACTGGGTGGAGACTCCTCCTGACATCATTCGGCCACCCAAAGGTCGAAAGGGAAAAGCTTAGCCACCCTGTGAAAAGCTTTGAACTCCAAGCTCCCAAAGCACATAAAAAATCCAGAACACCGTTTGCCGAACCTCTTCTCGCACTTCAGAATTGTTTGTTTCGCAAAGCGCAACTACCCCTCTTTCTCCAAGCATTAATTATTGGGCAGCAGTCCCGCTTGCACTTCGACGTGTTGAACGACGCCCAAAAGTATGTGCACCACGGTCGATCGGGGTCGGAGCCACTCCCAACCAATGGAGCCCGGTGTTCACTAGCCGGGTCAGAGGTTTTTCGGTCTCTCTACCCTACCAAAAACTATACCCAAGGACACCATCAATATTGAGTGAGTGAGGGGTGGACCAAAATACCGGTAGGCTCCTGTTTCACCTCTCTCCACTAGTTCCGGCGACACAACGGAGCTAGACAACCTCGATCCTGGATTTTTGTGCTGGGATGACGGGCACGATGCTGTCGCAATGTGACCTGCTTTAAGAAAACATAAATTAGAAGTCTGAGAAAACCAGTACCCTGCATGGAAGCTCGGTGCCACCCACTGAGGCTGTCAGGAAATGACCTCTGTATTCAACCTGATACGTTGCGGAGTTGTTTGCACAACACACCTTAGACAATTTATAGTATTTGTAAATGGGGCACCGTGTGAAACAACACCTCTTCATACCTCTTCGGTTTTGTGACTGTGACACTGTTGTGCGCTCTCATGGGTCCCGTTTTTCAACCTTTTGGGTCTGTCTGCAGGCCTGGTACAGGGTAGCCTCATGCCTCATGGCCACCGACAAGTAGACTAAGTAGACATGAATAAACAGTTCATCAACAAAAGTGGTGGGGTACCTTTCACTCCGCAAGCCACCCTCGTTGAACTCCGGCTTACCTCCTACAAAATGACACAGAACAGTCCATTGAAACTGAGTCGAACATTCCCTTCTCCGCCCAGCTGCGTGGCATCTTGCCATCGTTCTCCGGAAACAGGTCGTGGAACTGTTTCTCCATGGGGAACGCTTCTCAAAATTTAATTTGCGACTTCGGCGAGGTCCGCCGTCGTGCACGTTCCTGCACGTTCCGAGGGACAGCCGAGCTCTCGGCCTCCAACGGAGGGCTTTCAGGAGCCGAATCGGCCTAATCAATGCAACGGAGAACTTGCCAAAAACACATATACAATGGAATGATACTGCGTCATGGAAGCTTGACATGAAGAGCATTGAAGTGCTTCAGCAACATAAAATTGAAATTTAAGATTCAGCTCTATAACATGAAACTGTTGAGCCAAAGGCAGTAGCGTCAAAGCAACTCAAGAACCTCTGAACCAAGTCATGTCCTTACCCAAGTGTTTACTGTTGCCGTTGGTTGGGCGTACAGTAGGAATGTTGTGGGTATTCTTTTAGAGCTATCTTCTCTCTCTGTAAAAAGCATCGAAGAACCATCCCTTACGCCACAATTGTGTTGCTTGAGGATATTGTCTGCTTTGTGTCTTGGATGACAGATTGTAATATGTTGTAATACTGGACCACTGAACTGAACAGCATGAGGTTCCTACTGACCTCTTTCGTCTGGGAGTGCTGGTTTTGTCTCATCTCAGATTTAGATAAGACCTGACTCGAGAGTTCTGATTCATTGCAGCTGTGAAGAGGCTCCCCAAAACATCCAACCGATCTCGACAACACACAACCCTGGTGAAGGACCGAGTGTCTCTTCACTGAATGTCCTGTTTGGCATTCCATGACAGTCTTTGCACCTTTCGGGGGCGGAGGGCAGACCGCACATCTCGCCGGAGGGCATGGCATTGGTCCTGGACCCATGGTGTACGAACGCACGTTCTGAAGCCGCTTGGACTGCACCGCTTTCTTTGGAAAAACTGGGGCCAGGGGCAAATACTGCAATTCCTGCTGGAGGAATAGCCACTCGAAGCGCAACCTCAGCGATCCGGGAAATGAAAGACACCTCCTGGTATGAATGCTTTAGTACTTTTCATCTGTAGCCTTTGAAGTGTCCGAAGCAGCAAGGGCATCACAAACGGCAAATCAAACTGGTAACCAGTGCAGGCGGGTGCGACATTTGTCAAGCAGGAGCAGGGCCCCAAGCAGCAAACGAGACCGTGAGATCCATGGGCAAGTGAAAATATGCCGGCGAGCTGGCTTCTGTCAGCGTGACATGTTGCTTGGTATAGTTGATTAAACAAATGAAGAAACACAAACCAATACCAAAACAAGTATGTTGAACCAAAACGAAGGCCCGAGCTCCAGGCACATGACAAAGTGCGCACGAAAGCTCCCGGCCAGCCTACGTCCCCACCTTGAAACAAAACTCAGTGGTACCATCGTTCGCACGTCGCCCCCACCTTGTAGAGGAAGAGGCCATCAGGCTTCGGAAATCAAAAGCAAAGGCTTTGCTCTTCCTATGGGTCTGGCGGTCCACCAAATCCCTTTAGGCTTTGTGCCACCCAAGTCAGCCATCTGAGTACCAACCGGTCAGTCAAAACATGAAAAATCATCAACCATGAAACCTTTTGTTCAGTTTTCCCCACCTTGATCATGCTCGATATTCCCGATGCGCACCTGCACCGCGCAGCATGAACCACTGGGGTTTCCTGCAGCGCCCTAGCAGTTCGGAACTTTGCGCCGTTTCGCAACTAATGGGCCTCGGGCGAAGCTCATTGAGAGGTTCCAAACTGTTTACAAATGCTTACAAGGCATACCTAACTCCCAACACTATATACACTTTTGGATCCATTCCCTCATTCCGACTCAATCGTTACATTTCCTTACTAAGCCAAACTTACTAATTTAACCACTAATCAGATTCCTGGGTTACTATGCGTTTGGGGTATGCAATGGAGGCCTATACGTGGGTAGTCCATGGGTGGTCAAACGCATGAACCGTGCATATATAGCGACATGCCCTTTTGAACCATGAAAACGATGTCCGGCTTCTCCTGGTCATTTCAACTTAGAACCACTTTGAACGTTTTGTTGCAACCCAACATCCTGGATCTGCACAATCCTGGATCCGACATCGTCCCACAAACCTCGGCCCGAGTTGCTGGAAAGTCCGTAGCAATTTTTTTTGGCAGACCCTCACCACGGTTCTGAGCCCTGTGTCAAGCAATGGATTTTTCAATGAATACAGGTTTCTTTGACTTGGAAACCGCTTCAATGTTGGCAGCCAGCGGTAGCACCCACACCTTGAGCAACCGAGGCACAAATTCCACCACTGGCGGAAATCGGAAACCATTTGGGTTTGATCATATGTTTCAGATTTTTCCCCAGGCAGTTTACTGTTAGGGACTCTCTCTATCTATCTAGGAAAAAACACTGGCCACAGTGTCTGGCCTCCGCCATGAATTGTGTGTCCGTCCTGCTGTCCTTTCGCCACGCCCAAGCCCTGTGCCCTCCTGTCCTTCTCTTGTCGTCCTGCGGTCCACTGGCGGCGTCCTTCTCTTGTCCTCCTGCTATTCGGCAACCCTGTGTCCTCCTCTTGGCCGCCGTCCTCTGCACGCGCTCGCGAAGCTCCGTGTCCTTCTTTGGCCCTCCTGCTGTCCTCTAGCCACGCTTGCAAACTCTGTGTCCTCCTCTTGTCCTCTTGGTGTCCTCCTGCTGGCGACCTGTGTCCGCCTCTTGTTCCGCGCCATGGGCTCTCTTCTGCCTTTTCCAAAGGCTTACTTGTCCAGGCCTTGTCCGCTGTCCTGCTTGTCCGGTTTGTCGGCCCTTTTTATCACCGCCTTTTCCGGGGATTGTCCCCTGCTTGGCCACGCCGCTTTTCCTTTGTCCACCGTCTGTTCAGGTGTGTTTTCGTGTGGCTATGAATGCAACAGTGGTGCAGCGTTTCAAGCTTGATATCACTTTCGGATTTTCTCATGAGATCATATACCTCCTCATTTTGCACATGTGACCTGGGAACCAGGAACGATTTTCAATCATTGCCATTCCCGAGCAGCTCGGAGCCACTGGAATATACACCACCAACATTAGAATTCAAGGAGTTGCGACGCAAAAAATAATGCTCAAAATGTTTGGGGTCTATGCTGGCACAGTTTCTTCCTTGTGCATGTTTTTCTGTTAACGAAGCATGCTTCAGGTGACCATGTGCCGTGTACCCTGTGTATGTCACCCCACACCATCCAATAAAACTCTCGCTAAGATCAACACCTTAGGTTGCACTTGGGATCCGCGCCCCTCCTCAAGGGGGCAGTGCCCTCAACTCACAGCGCCACTGGGTCCGCCCGACGCCCGGCCGGTGCGAAGCAGCTGCTGCGCAGTGGAGCAGTTCATGGGGTCACCGGAGAGGATCATGGCCACGGCTGAGCCTGTTTTTCACGTTTCCTCGACCTCTTGAGATGTGAGGTAACTGTTGGCCAAACCCAGCACCCAGGAGTCCATTTCAATGAACGAAAGTGAAGGATGATGATGATGATGATGAGGAGGAGGAGGAGGACGACTGGGACTCTACTCTTGGCTGAAGGGGCTCTAATATATCCCATCGGTGAGTTTATCGACTATTGAATGTTGCGACAGAAACCTACTGGCAAGAGAGTCCAACCAGTCTGTCTAAAGGATTGGGGTGTAGACGGTGTAGGGGTGTAAAAGCAGATCTAGACACATTGGGCTCCAGAGACAGGTGACGGTGGTGACGGTGATGGTGGTGGTAGTGAAGGTGTTGGTGGCGGTAGTGAAGGTAGAGGTGAAGGTGAAGAACGTGGTGGTGGGTGGTGGGTGGTGGGTGGTGGGTGGTGGGTGGTGGGT